CATTTGTATGAAATATAACTGTTCTTATGGCAACTTAAAAGCACAACAAAAAGGAAATTTGCTGAGCTGTTGATTTTTTTTTCTGCGTATTTCTGGGCACAAGCTTAGCAATTTTTTGGGGGAATACCTTGGGGATTGGTCATACTGAGGTGCTGGCGCCACCTGACGTTTGACACTAAAAACCTGCCGTAAAAGAAAAGAATTCGAAACCACACGACGTTGGATCCTCAATTAAGCAAGAGTTGTGCACACATGCATACATACACACGCATATGCTGATAGAGAGATTCGTATGTGTGTGTGTTTGTGTGTATTGTGCTTATTTCGAAATGAAAACGCGGCCAGTACACAATTTTTGGAAGAGTTTTTTTTTTCGTAGCGTCAACTTACGAAACGTATCAAGAGTAACAGGCACCAGCAATCGCACAAATACAAATGCAATGGAAAGGGGAGCGCGTTGGCGTTGCTGCTTCTTCTTGCCACACAATCACAATGTTGCACTCTAACTCTCACTCACTATCTCGCTTGCGCTCGCATACTTAGTAACAGCAGTTAGCATAATGCACACACGCACACAAATATGTATATACATACATGTAATACTCACACGCACACACACATGCACACATAAGCGAGCGCGCGTATTTGGTATCTTGTATCTTGATTTCTTCTAAATTTATCTGCCACAATTCTTTGCGTTGTTGTTGTGCCCGGTACGTACAAACTTCAACTTAACTAAACAAAATAATTATTGTGCGCACTTTTTTTAAAATTCATTTCAAGATCGGAACGCGCGAGACACGTCCGCTTCGTCAAGAAACAGCCAACTGACGAGTTTGACAAACAAATATAACAACCATATAACAGCTAATATAACACTAGAGGCGCTAGCAGTGGAACTAAAACTGTAAGAAATGCTGTTACTAAACAGTGCAATATTCCCTAAACTGTTGTTACTAGTGCTATTGCCTATCGATAATACATTTTATAGACGCACTTAACAGTGGCTGTCAACTTAACCCGTTAATTTTGCCATAAATGTGGAGAAAATATACAACTCACAAATTGTTTAACGACAAATGAGCTTAGATCGTAAGATTCGACTCTATATTGTTTCAAAATATTTTCAAACTGCAAGATTGTGAAATTAGTGATCGATAAGCTTCATCATCGACTTAAAATCGCTAACAGCTGTCATCATTAACACTATTTAACCAGAATGTTAAGTTGCACCCCGGTTATTGAACAGCTGTTTCATGCACCTCTGTTTTGCCGCATAAAATATAACATAAATTAAAATGGAATTAGAGGGTTCCGAGTTGGGCACAAAGGAGTACTGGGAAACCAGCTACACGCGAGAAATCAAAAACTACAAAAGCCACGGCGATGTGGGTGAAATCTGGTTTGACGAGGACTCTCAACAGCGCATTGTGGACTGGCTACTGAAGCAGGAGACCCTCAATAAACAAACAGCACGTGTGCTCGACTTGGGCTGCGGCAATGGTATGTTCCTGGTCGCTCTGGCCAACGAGGGATTCACACAGCTCACGGGCGTCGACTACTCACCCAAGGCAATTGAGCTGGCCAAGGGCATAGCCAAGGATCAAGCGCTGAACATCAGCTACGATGTGGCAGATTTGACCCAGAGCGTTTGCCCAACGCTGGGCACCTACGACATCGTCCACGACAAGGGCACCTACGATGCCGTCAGCCTGTGCCCTGATAATCCCAAGGAGCAGCGTACAAATTATCTGGCCACTGTCGCACAGTTGCTGCACGACGAGAACAGCCTGTTCATTATCACCACCTGCAACTGGACGGAGGACGAGTTGCTGCAGAGCTTCGAGCATCTTTTTGACAAATATTGCACCATACCCACGCCCACATTCAAATTTGGCGGCAAGGTGGGCAATGTGGTTACCTCCGTAGTGTTTAAGAAGAAATGAACAATAAATCAAATACTTTTTTTTGACCAACATACACACAGGCAGAAGGTTATTGACAGTGTTGGCAATTGTCGCTTCAAAAAAGTAGCTGAAGCTAGTGCTAAAAATAGCTAAAAGTGGCTACATTCACAAATAAGGTTGAGTGATGCCAAAAAGTAGCTAAATGCTGAGAATCTCTCAAAATAGCTAAGTCCAGCTAGAATTAAGCTGACTTGGCAACACTGGCCTTTGAGCCTTTCATGTTTGCACTTAAAATCACACTGAGTGGGCAGCACTCTTATCTGTGAATGTAACTGCATGCACAATGATAATGCGGGAGCGGGGATATTTAACATTTATATATATATATTTATTATTGTTGTTCCATTTTGGTGTACTGCAATGAATCAGCGGACTAATAACACAATGATTAACAAGAAATAGACAGCTATGATGCCTTCATGCAGCCGAACTCTATAAATACCCTTGCAGGCAAACAGCATGTTAAATATGTTATGTATATGTTTTAACTAGCTTGTAAATGATATGAAAATAGAAACTGGGCGCTAACGAACTATGCCTAAGAATAACAATAGAATTTTGGCTGTTCGTGACATTTGTAAATATTTAATAGAGTTCAATGTTTAAAAATCAATAAGCCCATTTAGATCTATGTATATGTTCAGTTAGTCATTGCTGCGCTGCTAGGGTATTCTAAACAGTTGAGATGATTTCTTTTAAATAAAAGCTCACACAATACGCTTACACATTTGATGCACAGAAACAATTAACATTTCAAGTGCGTTAACTACCAGTTAGCAAACGATAAACAGCTGATAGCCACGCCCACCACCATCCCCAACGGTTGCTTGGGCGTTACAAGTACATAGTAGACATTAATTATGCTAGGGTCTTTCAATTAAGGACAAGGGTATGCAGCTGTCATTGCTTCAAGAGAGAAAGGTGCGCACAAATCCTTTAATATCCGCACGACACATGGGACATTTGGACACGCTGGGCGCGCAATTGTTACAGGTGGCTTTGGTCGGAGAGAAACGGATTCGTTAATTTATAAAGTAGTCGAAGATTGGATTTAGCACTCACCCAAATGTCCGCAGGGCAGGAAAACAATACCGACATCCTCGTCCAGACACACCTTGCACAGGCGCGCATCCTTCAACAAGCGATTCTCCTCCTCGAGCGACAGATTGCCATTGGGACTTGAACTGTTCACCGCAGCAGGCTCCACTGCAGCAGCAGCTTCAACGACCGCTGGCTTGGGTGGCTCCAGTGCAGCCGCTTTGCTCGTGGTGGCCGAGCAGTCAATGGGCGCTGACGGCTCGGTAACTTCCAGTGCGGCACTGGTGCCGCCTGCATCATCAAATATGGCATGCAGCAGGTCGTCGAGCGTATCGTAGGCACAGCCCGAACTGGACAGCTTTCGGGCAATAGTGCTGCGCACAATGCCCACATCTATGCCGAGTGCCAGAGCCTCACAGGCGGGCGGCTCGCACATGGCGCTGCCAATGCTAACGGGTAATTGTGGCGCTGTGGCAGCCGTTGGCGATGCGGCTGCTGCTGCGGCTTTGCGCACCTGCTGCACATACTGTGGTCCCTTGGCGAGCAGCACAAACTGGCATTTTGGCGACCATTTGGCGTGCTCATGCCAGGGTTCATCCTCCTTCTGCCAGGAACGCAGGCCAATATTGCAGTGAAAGCAACGCACCTGATCGTCAATTTTCTGATAGTATAAGCCCGCCTGGGCCAGTGGCTCAGCGGGCTGGATATTTGTAATGGGCCAGTCGCTGAACGTGCGCAGTCGCGCCTCCATGCAGGCAAATTGCGGGCGCTGCGGCAACTTTGTTGGCTGTATGCCCAGCTCCTCCAGATCCTTGCCAGCGAACTCAATCAACGGACCCATTTGTACACGCGGACAATTGGGAAAGAAGCGTCGATGCTCCTCAAAGGCATTGTCGTTCTTCTCCCATTTGGCAATGACGCCCTTGCACCACACGCACCTCACATGATCCGATTGGTTTAGATAATAGAAACCCGCCTTGGCTAAAGCTTGTGGTGTGATATTCGGATTCTGCAACAGACGGAAACTAATTAGTTGGCAATGCCTGTCACTATTAGATGGTAAATACAAACGGGCCAATCCTTGAACGTTTCCAGACGATTCGCTTCGATAAGCAAATCCGGGCAAGCGCACTGTACTTGCTGTGTGCTGCCGCCGTCCACGACGCTGTTGCCCTCGCAATCGCTGCTCTGTCCGGCGGCGGCGACTGCTGGCTCCACGGGCACATTTCCACAATGATTGGGCGCCAATACCATGGAGCAAATGGGCGAGGCGCGACGATGTCGCTCGCTCACTTGATCACCGTACTCCCAGTGATCTATGCGTATGTGACACCAGTTGCATTCGGCCTCCAGCCAATTGCCCGTGGCAAAGAAACCATTTTTCACCAAATCTTCGACCTGGACGGGCGCATTTGTTGGCCACTCGATGAACGTCGCATATCGTTCGCTTTCCAATTCCAGGCGACGATCGGTCATGTTCGTGACTCACAAATGCGGATGGGCGTCGCGTGGTTCTTTTGTCACTGCTTTTAACTATGCAATGATGTAATTTGCTCAGCTGCAATTAAACAAAAGAACCAACAAACCAACTGGCTGATGTGAAAATAAAGTTTATTGATTGCCCGCCAATGTGACCGTTCGTTGCACTCAATATATTGGCTACCCATTTTATAGAGATGGGCAACATCTGCCCACCTGTGACTGACAGTTTTAGTTTTTTCTAAAACCACTGCAACTCGTTATTATTTCAAATTCTAGCTTTTAATAAACATTCTGCATTGAGAAGCAACAAATTAGATATTTTATGTGAATATCAAATTCTCTATTTGAAAAAATGCTGACAATCTGTTAAAAGTAGATTTGGTATTAAATTGTATATATTTAATACATGGTCACACTACATGTTGCTGTGGTAGAAAAACATATGTTCGACAGACGAATATAAAAATATGCATAATTCCACTTTTATTTAGCCCATAAAAAAACATAATATGCTTGTACTCTTCAACGTACTCATTTTTATTGAAAGAATCACTTAGAAAGACTTGCTGCTTAAAAACGTGAAAACCAAGAGCAAAACGCACGCAGTGCGTTAACGCCAGCTGATTTTGTTGTCGGGTTACTCCTTACTGGAAGTAGGTCCTTGGCTTTCTGTACGAGAACAGCTTCCTGTTGCCCTTGTGGTGGACACGTTGCACCAATGGGAACTTGATCTTGGAATCGTGGAACTGCTTAACATGGACACGACGCGTCTTTGAGGCTGGGATCGATTCCACCTTAATGATTTGAATGGAGTGGGCACGGGCACGATGACGAGCGCCCATGTCACGGTAGCACTGTGTAACGGCACCGCCCACGGTCAGGTCACGGTACTCGCGGTACATGTTGTGTGTGCCCGAACGAGAATCGTAGCGCAGCCAGATGCCAAAGTTCTTGATCTTAATGGGCGATGTTTCGTACACCTGCTTCAGGGAGACAATTTCGCCGGTGGTCTTCTTGAACTTCTTCAGCTGGCGCAAAAAGTACCAGAAACGGGATTTGGCGACAATGTTGTCGGGAGCAAAGATGCGCATCTTGTACAGAGGCGTCTGTGGCTCCTTCTCGCTTGGCAGCTTGCGGCCAACGACCTCGTATTCCTTCAACTGCAAGCAAACAAATATGTTAATAAGTACAATAATTACTTTTTGTGTAAACAAATGCGGCAAGTACGCAGTCAAACACACACACACAGACGCATACAAGCAGGCGCGTGGACAGACGTTGTTGTTGTTTGTATAGGTTATGTGTTCTTCGAATGCCAATAAATCAACTTTAATATAGGCTTAGTCTTCTGAATAAGTCACAGTTTAATTACAAATTTCTCTAAATGTGCAAGACTTCAGCAGCAGTGCCTGCTTAATGATAGCACGACGTCCGCATTGTCCATACTACAGCGGTTAGCCTGAATTTTGGTGTTTTCGCACAGTAATTGCTCATTTTCACACAGTCTCTTGAATGCACTTGCTGCCAGCTATGTTTGACTGCCTGCTGCACACAATTTTTGCACAATTTACACTAGTTTTTGTTTATTTTTGGCAAATACTAACCAAACCCTTGGCTCTCATGATGACGGCTCACGCGAAAAAGGAAACGGAAAGAGATGTCAAAACGCATTTAACACTGAACCCAAAACTTACACGCAGGGTTGCTTTTGGACGCTGCCGAAAAGCGTTGCTTTTGGACAGTCACCACAGCGTGCTATTGCCATGTTATCGACGCATTGCGCATCGCTAGACTTCTGCGCGTGTTCAATGGCTGCGAACGTCGATAAAATTGCTAAAAATTTGCTTTTCACGCGTTTTTTAAGCAACAATAACAGTAAATACACAAACCATATACAAAACTGATAGTGCGTGCAGCAAATTGCCAATGGCCCAAGCCCTCGAATTAAGCATAAAGTGAGCTCAAAACATCAGCCCATCAATAGTGAGCAGAGAAAAAAGAAAATGCAAAGCGCAATGTGAGAAGTGCAAAAAAATTTCCTATATTCACAATTTCAGTAGCGCAACCAAATTTGTGCGCGGTAAGCAAACACGCATAATTGTGAAATTCAAGCGCGTGTTTTTTCGCCCCTATTACGCAGCCAAATGCGCAAAAATATTAGAAAATAAAACAAAAATTGTATAAGCACTGCGACGACGTCTGGCCTATCCACACACAAGAAGGTGGACGAAAAGAGCGCAGGGCAAGGGGTGTTGTTCTTGTTCAGAAAAACGCGCGGCCGCCGCTCCGCTGGGCGCTCCATTGCCTTGCCTCGCTCAGTTGTGCAGCGAGCGTCCGTGCCGTCGGTTGTGGTTGTGACTCCTCTCTCTCTCTGTGTATAGTTGTTTTGCGCGCGTAAATATTGTGTGTCCGTGTCCGCCCCGGCAGCTGCTACTGCGAGCAGGTAAGAGAGACGCATGCTTAATTATCAAAAAAACAAAAATAAAAAAAACTACTACAATTGCGATTACATGAGTGTTGATTTTCTTCCACGGATTTGTTTTGCGTATAGTATTTAAAGTAAAATTTGCAAATTTATTTATAGCCAAAAGTTTTGCTTTTGCTTATTTCATGCTCCCTCCGCCTCCGCAGCACATTTTGCGCAATTTATTTTGGTATTTTCAATTATCCGATTTTGCTTTGTGTGCGCACTTCGTACGGCACCAGGGCTGGCGAAATAGCTACCAGCAGCAGCGGCAATGAATTGAAAGAATTTGATTTTCGTTTCCCTTTTGTTTTGCTGTTGCAAATGGCTGCTTCTTTTTTTCTGCTTTCTGTTTTTATCGCTTATCTCACTATCCAGTGGAATAGCGTATTAAAATATCAGGCAGCGAAATGCAAATATTTTATATTTTCGTTTTCTTTTGAATCACAGCAGCTGTAAAAAGAAGCTCAACTTAGCAAACGGTAAACACAACGTCGCTGTACGGCATGCAAAGGTAATCAAATTAATCGATTTATATGTATCGATAACATGTAATAATGCTCATTGTTTTCGTTATCGCTATTGCCTTGGCAGCGCATAAATGCAAAAAGATGATGGAAACATTGGAACAGCAACAAACAAAGAGTACGCCTAACAGTGAGCCCCATGCGGGCAATACGGAAACGACGCCGGCAGCCAGCGAAGAGGATGACATTGAAGAACACTGCAATGCGTTCGAGCTGGAAAATGAGGAGAAAAACAGCAACAGCCCGCTACGGGAACTTAGTCTAAAAAACGTAGCTGAGCAGGATGAAGCGCAAAATCACCTAGAGAATGGACGGGATACAGAGGAGGAGCCGGCAGCCTCGCAAGAGACGGCACAAGGTACATCTTCAACTGCCGGCAGCTTAGACGAGTCGTTTGAGCTGCCAACCGAAAGTTCCGTGAAAGTGGAGTGCGAAGAGGACGCGGAGGATACTGCTGAGGATGGCGATGCCGAAGAGAAGCCGTCCACATTGCTCGACGCCCAAAAGCCCCCAATCGACATCAAAGTTGAAACGAAAAGTCCTTTACCCGCGCTCAAAGACGATGTTGCTGACGAACCCTCCTCCTCGCCCGGCAATCCAGATGAGCAGCAGAATGGAGAGATTGCGACAGCAGGTTCGCCTGCGATGCAATTTGATACGGAAATTTCGCTACATGATAAAGTATCTTTAACAGATAACATAAAAGTTGAAGAGAAAAGTCCTTTGCCATGCATTAGGTCAGATGAAGAAGATGTCTCTTCGCCAGCGATTAAAATGCCCGAAGAGAATTCTCCATGTGAGCAGAAGAGCATTTGTGAAACATCTTCGCCTGTGTACAGAGTCGTTGGCGAGAGTTTTTCCAATGATGAAGAGGATAATGTTTCACCCACGATAAAAGTGATTGAGAAAACATCTTCACCTGCCAACATGCAAGAGGAAGATAGATCATCATCGTTTTCATCTGCACTTAAGATCTCTGACGACATTAAAATCGAGGGCGATGAAGATTTTTTAGACCGAGTGCAAAGGAACGACGACGACGGAGAGGTGGAGCAAGAGGAGGAGGAGGAGGCGGCATCGTCACCTGCATTCAAAATCGATGAAGATGAAGTTGCTTCAAGTGCGAACGCAACCAAGGAAGGGGAATTAGCATCACCTGCAACACCAGCTGCGACGCCTGTGTATAAAATCAATGATCTTTCACCTGCCAGCATACCAGATGATGATGATGATGATGATGAGGACTCCTCACAAGGATTTAATGCTGAAATTAAAATCGAGGAAGCCAGTCCAAAGTTGCCAAAAATTGAGCGCAAATCCCCCATGGAAATCATTAAGATTGAGTCTGATTCTGAGGATGAAGATGTGCAGGTAGAGGTGGAAAATGATGTAGATGAAACTGGAGGTAATCAAACAGCTGCAACAGATTCCCCCCAATTGGAGCAAAGTGATAATTTGATTAGGCAAAAGCAAAACATGAAGACGCCAACGACGCCGTCGCCATCGCCGACGCCTAAGGTGAAAATAAATGGCGCACATGCAGCAATGGAAGAACTGCAGCCGATGTCTGAGGTGGAGCAGGAGAGAATGCAGGATGCAGTGCAACAGTCTGTGATAGCAAATAACGAGAAGGAAGAGCAGCTGGAGCTGCACCACACCGGAAGAAGAAGCAGCCGTAGCAGCAGCAGCAGCTCGGTCAGCTCCACCTCACAGCAGCTGGTAATTGATCAGCCCGAGAGCGAGCAGCAGCTGCGAAAACAGCAGCAACAGCCGCAGCAGAATCAGGAGCAGGAGCAGGCAAAGAATCAGCAATTGTTGCTTGCATTAAAGCGCAGGCGCAGCGGCAGCAACAGCAACAGCGACAGCGACAACAACCCAAAACCAACAGCCAAACAGCAGTGTGTAGAGACGGAGGAGCAACAGCCGCCGTCCTTGCTATTGCAGCGTCTGCAGGCGCCAGCGCCTAATAGCGGCGATGTGGAACAGCAACTCAGCTGCTACAAGTGCAATGCAAACAAATTTGATAATTTTCAGCAGCTAAATGCGCATCACGCGCAATGCAAGGCACATACCGAAGCGGCAGCAGCAGCAGCAGAAACAGCCACAACGTCAACAGCAGGAGTAGCAGCAGCAGACGCAGCAGCAGCAGCAGCTATCCCAGCGCCAGCAGCTGTTGCCGTGCCCTTGGCCAGTCCCGCTCCTGCTACTGCCCTCAAGAAGGAGCGCTTCTTTCGCTGCGCCCGCTGCAGCACTGTGCATCAGTGCTGGAACTTTTTTCTGCACATGCGCGAGGTGCATCAGCGTTACATTTGCCTGTACTGTTCGCATGTGTTTGCCAGCGTTGAGAAACTGTCGCTGCATCTGGAGAACAAGCACGACATGGATCAGCGTCATTTTGCCAACATTGAGGCGTGGCAAGCGCTGCAATCGCAAGAGGATCGCGCCCGTTATTTGGTCTGCTGCAATTGCCAGGCTAGCTTCGAGCGTGGTAGCCATTTCGATGATCATGACTGCGCCGAGCTAATGCAGCCCTGCGCCCTTTGCGGCCAAAAGGCTGGCCATGCCAATGGCTGTCGCAATAGCAGCAGCACCACAGCCACCAATGCCAACAACAGCGGCAGCAGTCGCAAGAAGACGGCGGCGCGACGGAAACGCAAGACGGCCAAGAGCAAGCAGCTGCCCAGCCAGCAGTTAGCCGAAGAGCAGCCCAAGGCAAACAATCAGCAGGAGGACGAGTCCAACTGGATGGAGACGGATGCGTTGGTGCCTCCAGAAGCGCCAGCACAGCCAACGGCATTGCCTGAAAACAACAGTAAGTGCAGACCTGAATGGGCATAAATGTCTAGGGAGCGTACAAAGAAGCCATTTGTATTGAATGTTTGATCTTGACATCTATTTTCTGCTTAAAAGTTCTATTTGAGCACTTTGGCATATACCTACTTGGGCTTCTACCCGTACACATTGCTTCTACTGATTATATTTACATAGATCAGCGTGGACTTTAAACTTTGAATTTGGTTTGATCAATTGACTGATTGAAGTCCATACTTGAGAATTTAGTTAGCGCAGACAGACTCGGACAGAAATTTGTTCAATGAAAATGGTTGAAAAACTGTTGCATCGCTTCTTTTTTGTTCTCTTGCAATAGCTAAATTCAAAGATATTTAAAAAGCCAACAGAAATGCATTTCAATATATATGTTTGTTTATATTTTTACTTTTTAAATTCACTTATACGTGTGGATAATGGGTGAAAAACAATTTGTACGCTCTTCGCATTTAGCTACTCTGCTCAATATAATTTAAACTAATCAATTGAAACAGTTCCAGCGCCAATTGAAGTTGCGCCACAAGAGGATGCGGCGCCCAAGCTGGTGGTGCCGAAGATGATGCTGCGCGTGCCGAAAGAGTTTCAGAAATCCGTGGACGCAGCGCTCAGCAGCACAGACACCGAGGAGGAGGACAACGATGAGCTGGCAACATCAGCAGCAGCAGAAGCAGAAGCAGAAGCGGCAGATGCAGTCGAATCCGAAAGCAGGAGCAGTGCGGTGCCGCTGCTCACCGTGGATGCAGTCGAGCAGCAGCAACAGCAATTGCAGCCCATGTCATCATTATCGGAGGACACGGAAACCGCCACCGAGACAGCATCCACGTTTCAGGAAACGGCGCCCACAATGCCCGCGAATGTTTCACTAAACGAATTGGAG